GTTTGCTTCCTTTTTTCTTTATTCTTTGTTTAAAATATTGGGTCAGGGAGAAGGGAAGCAAAGTTCAGAAGTGAAGGTGATCTAAAAACTAGGGATAAAACAATTACTATTTTTAAAACGTGGGTATGTTCTCCACACACACATTAAGGGACCCACCTATGTCCTATGTAGATAGATCACGAGAGACACCATCATGCAGTAGAAAGAGAATTGGAATTCAGAGTAAGATGACCTAGTGTTGAATCTCCGCTTTGCCACTTATGTGGTGGTGCTGTCAACAGTAATAAGAAGGTTTTCTGGAGAAACATTACGAGTTTTGTTTTGGAGATGTTGAGTTTGAGATACCTATGGAATATCCAGTTTGAGATGTTTGACAGGCACTTGGTGGTGAGAGACTGGCACTCAGGAGAAACATTTGGACTGGATGTATGAATCTGGGAATCATTTGAGTAGACCCGTGGGGGCTAAGGAGATCACCAAGTGAGATGGCGAAGAGGGTCCCTGACAGAGGCTTGGGGGTCACCCGGGCTTAAAGGGGAGTGACCTGGAGGAAAATACATCAAAGGGCTAAGAAGGCATGTTAGGCAAGAGGAAAACAGGGAGGAGGGAAAGAGAGCAGTACCCCAAAACCTAGAGAAGAGAAGGTGAGCAGCAGTGCCATAGAGAGGTCAGGGAGGGTGAAAATTGAGAAAAGGCAGTTAGACTTGTCAATTGAGAGCTAATAATGTGGGAGAGAGTGGTTTCAGTTAAATGGTAACTGTAGGTTGTAGAGAGTTAAGAAGACCTGAGGAGGCTTAGTATATACATCACAGGTGTCAAAAGCTCACCAGTTAAGGCATGCCCAAGCACGGAAAAGTTTAACAATATAAATAAAAGTGTGCTGTGCAATGGAGGTCACATTCATTTGTGGTCTTCTCAATTAGTGTCTGGCTGCAGGCCTTTCTTTCTGTTCGAGTTTGATACCACTGGTGTACATGACTTTCTCAAGGAACTTAGCTGGGGGGTCAGGAGAGGATTGATCTAGATAGGACTTTGTAAGGATAGGCAATACGTGGGCAGGTTTGTGGGTAGCAGAGAAAGAGCCGATAGAGTGAGATTGAAGGTTAGAATGTGGGGCAATCAGCTAGAGTAGATGGGAGGGAATGGGGTCAGGGATGCATGTTGAGGCGTTTTCCTTAGCAAGGCACCTGAGCATTGTGAGACAAGAGGGGAGAAGAGGAAAGCTCTTGTTGAAAGGAGAGGCCCCTCGGCTTTAGCTGGAGGATAAGTGAGAAGGTTAGAAACCACAGCTCCTGTGGTGAGGTGGAGCAAAGCACCGCAGACCCAGCTAGGGTTATGTAATATAAATTGTAGTAGAGTCGGTTCATAGGGTTTTGTGACTTTCCCTAACTCCATTCAGCAGTACGTGAATAGGAGTAGTGGAGGCAGATGGAGGGAGTAACCCCAGGTTGGGGTCTGACAAGGCATGATTGTATGATTGGTGATAGGCCCAGGAGGCAAGGGATTTGAGTGTAGAGAATGGTGTCAATTTGAACTGATTTACCAGCGGGTTGGTATAGTGAAGGAAGGACAGTGTTGTCAGTGAAAGGGTGATGACTGGCCTGGGAAAGTAGTGTGGTGAGGAGGAATTGAAGGAGAGAGAATGGTGTAGAGATGGCAAAAGAAAAGATGGTCAGATATGAGGGTAAGGATGCTCAGGATGGGCTGGAGTGTGTGTGTGTGTGTATGAGTGTATGAGTATGAGCCCATGCATGTGTGCATATTACAAGTTTAGTTTTGAACTGTTTGTACTTGTGATGCTTATAAGGTGCAGATATCCAGCAGGAAGTTGGTATTGTAGAACTGAAGTTTGGGGGAAGGATTAGGTCTGGATATCTGGTCTGCATAAAATAGAAAATGGAGGTCTGCATAAAGCTGATCATTGAAGCTGGTGAGATCACCAAGGTGGGGTGTATAGATAGAAGAGAAGAGGGTCTAGGATGTGGCTGAGAGGGATTCCCATAATTAGAATCTGAGAGACAGACAATCCAGCAGAGGAGACTGAGGAGAGGTCAGACTGGTGGGATGGAAAGCCACGAGGTAGCATTGATGTAGAAGGCAAAGGAGAAGAAGAGTGTCCAATGCTGGCATTTTTATAGCACAGTCACGTCTTCAGAGCTCTGTGAAAACTGCACTGAGGTCAAGCAAAGTGAAGTCTGATCGAAGGCCATTGAACTGGAATTTAAGAGATTGTCGGTAGCCTTGGAGAACAGTTTGGGTTGGGGAGAGTTTAGAGAAGTAAGTGTGAGGCTAAGAAATAGATACTTGGGAAAGAGAGAGGAGATAGGATGAGAGAAGAAGGACAGAGTCAAATGAAGAGTTTTTAAGGATAAGGGAGACCTGGACGTGTTGACAAATTATGGGGAAGGAGTCAGTGAACGAGGAGAAAATGGAATCATGATCGTAACTCTAGAGGTGGATGACGCCATGCCAGACATTTCAAGCCCTGGGGCATCCAGAGCCTGTTAGCTGAAGTCCTTAACCACTGAAAAGGAACACCTCAGCATGAAGAAAACCTCTTTTCTGCATTAGGATTTGAAGGTAAATGGACAATAAATTGGGCCCAGGATTAAACAGGAGGACGAGGAGAGTGAACTGGATTGTCTATTCAACAGAAATTAAAGATCATCTTTCTTCATCTCTGTGTTCTCCCATTGTTTTGTGGCTGTGAGTCACACAACACTAAAGTCTTTGGAGAATTAAAAATGAGTTACTCTAGGGGCAGTGGAGAGGCGTGTGTGTGTGTGTGTGTGTGTGTGATAAGCTGAAATATGACAACACTTACAGAAGAGATGCAGGAGAAAGGATATAGAGGAATAAATGATGGAGAAAGGAAATGTATTGGTCACATGGCAGCTGGAGGTTCCATTGGTATCCTGTTGGTGTCTGGGGAAGCTGGACCCCTCTTGGGCGGCAGTGAATGGAGCAGGTTCCCAAAGGGAGATGGACGGGAAGGAGGGCACACAAGTGGAGGGGTTAGTGTTTGCACGGAGAGACTTTCACCTCTTCATCAGAGACTAGAGTGAACGAGGAAACAATTAGGGGAGAGGAAACAGCGGCTTTGAGCTGCAGTGGGGAGGTGAATTCTGCTTGTTTTCTGTTTAAAATAAAGCAGCTAAAGTACTTTTCTACGGACAACTTCTCTTTTCTTCTTCGTGACGTTCTTTGGATCGAGTCTTTTCAAGGGAATCACCAGGTCTTAGGGATTGATCTGGTTTGTGACTTTTTATATGTTGCCATGCTATTCTCCAAAAATTATCCATTAATCTGTAGTCCCACCAATGATGTAATAGTGTCTGTTTACTTGAAGTCCTGTAAATACAGTTATCCTTTCTACGTCGCAACTTTCCCCATTGAGGTTATAGTGTGGGTTAGCATAAGAAATTAAATGGGAATTTTTGGGGAGTTTGGCAGAAGCTGCAGACAATGCAGAAAAAGTTCAGAAGCTCAGAAATGCATAAAATATATGTATAATATTTTATAATATCAACTTATTTTATCTTTTAATACTATAATAATTCAGGCTTCTTCTCTGGTGCAAAGGGAGGGCCAAAAAATTTTACGCAAATTTTCCAGATCTCAGGTGGAGGTGGAGAGGGGGGCACCCTGCTTCTAACCCCAAAAATGTGGACAGGATAACTATATTGGATTTTGTCATAAGGGGGGGGTGATCCTAGGTTTTCCCATTTAATGAGTATAAGGTGTTATCTTAAGGTTGTCTTGACTTGAATTCTTTTGATTATTAGGAAGTTTCGACATCTGTTCACAGGGTTATAATTAGCAATTTGTATTTCACAAATTCTATTTATGTCTTTTGAATGTTGTTTCATTGAAGAATAGTGTGTATTACTATTATAGTTATGTATTGTTCTTTACAGATGCTAGATTTCATTTTATTTACTGGAAATATTTTTTCCCAGTCTGTTGCTTTTTATTTTTGTCATATTGCATTTGACATACAAAATTCTTATATTTGGATAATCAGCTTTCGTCTTTAGTAATTGTGTTTGATTATATAGGTTACCTCCCTTCATGATCAGAATAAATATGTGTATGTGTAAACACTGAGGTTGCAACTGTTTTATTTTGTTGATTGTGCCTAATCCTAGTTTTCCACCTGCTGTAATACAGTTTTTCCAGAAGTTTTTATTGAATAGTAATTTCACTTCACCTTGCTCAGCAAACACTCTCCTAATAGAGCAGGCTGTGTGTCCGGACCTCTCTTCTCTTTCATTTGTCTCTTTTTGCCAAGCACCCAACAGCTTTTGGACTTCATGCTTTTTAGTACGTTTTTGTCTAAGTAGAGCAAGTCTATTTTTACTCAGTTCTTCTTCATCATCTTTACATTGACAGAATTACATCATCCCCCATAGCCAAGCTAGTGTCAAGACCCAATGATTCCACCTTTGCAACTTCTCCCAAGCAGACCCTTTCTGTCCTGTGACACTGATACCTCCCTGGTACAGGCCCTCATCCCCTCATGCCTGGTGGGTCTGCCAGCCTCGAGGCTGTCCCTCCTCCATTCCATCCTCCATTCAGCCACGGAAATGATTTTCCTGAAACAAAAGTCTGACCACATCGTGACCGCCCACCCCCCCCAGTCCAGTGGCTCGCTGTTGTCTCCAGGAGCAAATTACACACGATCTGATGTTTTAAAAAATATTCCTGTTTATGTGTAACACATCTGTGGATCAGTAACAAAGCCACGTCCTATGAGGCAACAGCTTAGTAGGAATAGCTGTCTAGCTGTGTTTGTTTTTAACTCCCTCTGCCGTGTAGACACTTGTACATTTGATAACTAGAGGCATAGTCCTTACTGGACAGGAGGTGCAGACTAATAGATTTTGCTCAGCGTTATTGAAAAACTTTTGATTGTAAGCTCCAGATGTCTAAGCTGTAGAAGATTGAGTAGGGGGTCACATTGCTACCGCCTTGTTCACACCTTCTTTTTCTTTTTTCAGATTCTTTAATGATGAATGGGTCCAATGTTGCCAACACAACACCCAATGCAAAATCCAAAGAGGACCAGGTAGTGAATGGGCGTGATGAGAAGGAAAACAACCCCTTTGCTGAGTACATGTGGATGGAGAACGAAGAGGATTTCAATAGACAGGTAAAGGAAAGTGTGAGTACCGATTCTCTGTTTAGTTTTCAGAGCCTTTCATCTCCTGCCCGCTGGAGCTATCCAGGCTTCTACCTTCTGACCCCGGGCCTCTGGGATACACCAGCCTTCTCTCTGTTCTCCATTTCAACTCTGGGCATTTTCATGGTTTGCTCTCTCTCCCTTCTCATTCACCTCTTGGCATCTCTCATCCTTCCCCTTAATGCTAGTGCCTTCCTTCTGTTGATTACCTTCGATTTATCCTGCATATGTCTTGTTTGTTCATAACTAAACACAAGCTGCTTCCCCCATTAAATTTGAGCTCCTTGATGTCCCTATCCATCTCCTGCATTTCTTTGTCTCCTCTGTGCTTAGCACGGTGACTGGTATAATGTGGGTGCCTAATAAATGTTTATTGGCTGATCCCTAGCTTTAGAGGGGGAATGTGATTTAATCAGAGGTGCTTCCCAGATCTACTTACCTTGGAGTCATCTGTGAACCAGTTGACCACAGATTAATTAGAGGACATCATTGTTTGTGGCCTTCTTTCTGGAGAGGCTTTGGGTCAGGACTGGCTCCGGCTGGGTAGGGAGGCCCTGTTCTAGCCTCTGGGTGCCTCAGAAAGCCTTCTTCTAGTTAAGCTATTCTGGAAAGACTCTAGAAGGTCACCAATGAAATAAGAGGTTGATTTCTGAAATTAGAGCTCCCCAGTTATAAATTTAGACATAGAAGGAACCATCTAATCTAACCCTCTCATTTTATAGAGGAGGAAACTGAGTCTTCATTGAACAGAGCTGATGTTTGGGCCGGGTTCTCTGACTGCAGACCAAGCCAAGTGTTCTTTCTCCTGTACCACAGCTAGCTTAGTTTGGAGTCTGCCTTCCTAGTTGACTCTCACAAGTGGGTGCAGGTGCTCCATGTATGGTCTGACCAGGACAAAGTACCATAATTTAATACTTACTTCTTTCCTTAGTTCACTGGCCTCTGCTTTTTTTATGCTGTTTATTTCAAGTCTTTTACTTTTTTGCTCCACGTAATTGAATTATAGCCAAAATGATAGCAAAATCATCACAGTACTTATCAAATATCCGTATGGCACTAGGCTACGCAAAAGGTTCAGGCACTGTTCTGATGAGACTGAGAGTCTGAATCAACTGGGCGTCTTCCTAGACTCAGCGGACTGTCTAGAATAGCTGGGGGCTTTCTGGGCTTCCCCTTATCCTGTTTGAATTCTAGGGCCTCCATCACTGCCTGGTGACCTGAAATGGAGCCTGAAGCGCACTGACAACATTTACAAAAATAACTCTACTTTAAGCCTTAGTTGATAAGACATTGCAGTGGATTTGAGTTTCCTGTAATTTTCTGCTCTGAGGCAGGAAACTTTCTTTTGATGCTGGAAATATCCTACTTTTTAGAGTTGCATATCGCAGAATTTGAGAATTGGCAAGCCCCCAGAGGCCATCAGAAGGAATCCCCCTAGTTCGCCTCCACCAAGTGGTCCTCCAGGCTCTGCTTGAAGGTCCAGGTCTACCTGAGGGGAACCTCCCTCCCTTCTAGCCAGTCCATTCCAGCTTTGGCCAGCCTTCATTGAGGGGAGGCTTTCCTCACCTCAGATCAGCATCGGCCCCTCGGCGGTTCTGCCCGCTACTCCTGGTTCTGACCTCTGGGCCAGGCTGGTTCTTCCCTCGCTGACAGACCCTCAGATGCCCGAAGACCTCTCTCGTGCCCATCCACCGCTTTCTGCAAGCTCAGCACGCTCATCTCCTTCCTTCCTCGTCATGGTTGTGCTCTGTAATGTCGTCCTTAACCTGTGGTGCCCAGAACTGGACCAGGACTTTCTGCGAAGCAGACAAGGGCAGAGGCGGTGGGGCAGAGGGCGGTAGGACTGTGGTCTCTTTTCCTGGCCACACTGCCTTCTTAGCATTAGCTTTTTTAGCTACCCCATTACATGACTGACTCATTGAGCTTGGAGCTAACTAAAACCCCAGACGTTTTTCAGAACAACATCTGTCTAGTCACGCCTCCCCCATTTTGTACTTGTGAAGTTTATTTTTTTGTACCCAAATGAAAGACCTTACATTTAGCTATATTGAATTGCATCTTCTTCATAGTCAGCGCAGCCCTCAAGAACTGTGATCCTGACTGTCCCCCACTGTTCGCTTTCCCTCCCGGCTTTGAGTTGTCTGCACATTTGATGAGTTTGCCATCTTTGCCTTGATTCAAGCCATCGATGAACAGCCCGAGGCTGACCTCCTGCTGCACTGATGTTGAACTGTTCATGGCTGCTCTTTGGAGTCCGGCCCTCCAGCCAGGTCTGGACGTCTCTCGTCTGCTCCACAAAAATAGTATGAGATGCCTTCTCATAAGCTTGGCTGAAAGTTAGGTAAACTGCTTCGTGATCCTTTCAAGAATTTCCCTAGGAACCAAGGTCAAGCTTATGGACCTATAGTTGGCAGACTCTGTTTCCTTTCTTTTTTTTGGAAAATTGAGACATTTCTTCTTCCTCAGTCTTGTGGTGCTCTCGTTTTCCATGATCTTTCCAGCGTCCTGGACAGAGGCCCAGCAAATGCATTTGCCGGTGCTCTCACAATCAGAGGTTGTGGGATGCTCTCGGAGGCCAGGTGATGTGACTCCACCATGAACAGCCAGCTGCTCTCCTACCATCTCCCCACTTACCTTAGGGAAGAGCTCTGTTCTTCATTGTTCTTCTGTTCTCTCCAATGTGAAGGTTAACGAAAACAGAATCAAGCTAAGAGCTGTCATTTTAGCCTCCTCTCCATTGTGGGTTTTCATCGTTCACTCCGCTCCAAGTCAAGGCTTTTCCTTTCTTAGAGCTTCCTTTTTTCCCCAGTACAGTTTAAACAAACAAACAAACCTACCTTCTTCCTGGCACACTTTCTGCAGGGATGTGATACATTCTTGTACTTGTCCCCTTTTATGGAATCTTGCTCCCATCTTCTCAATGGTTCTTACAGATCTCATTTGGTTGTTGAGTTGTTCATTGGGATGCACCTATAGTGCTCTCTTCAGACAAATCCCACTTTTCCTTCTCAGTGAAATGTTTCCCATTGTGTCTTCAGAATTTCTTTCCCGACCGTCTCCCATCCCTTCTGAGCTGACTTACCTTCTTAAACTGGGTCGCAACCCCATATGGGTCAGTTTCAGAAGTGCTGAACTTCTCTCATGAGAGAAAAAAGTTTAAGAAGCCCTGCCCTAAAGCACTTTATCCCCTGGGGTCCTACCTATGTTTCCTCAGAACTCTTTGACAGCTGCTTGCCCAAAACCTAGGCTGCCTGTCAGACTGTGCCCAGAGTTCCTGTCCTCTCCCACAGGCTCTGGGAGTACTGTCACTTTCCTTCGAGGGTTCCTATCATTACCATGCCAGTACTCTCCACTCGTAAGAATCAGGTCCAGAATAGGATTTTCCTTGGTTAGTTCCTCTACCTTTAAAGGGATGAAAACATTACTAAGACTATTCCAGAAAGTCATTAGCTGCTGTGTTCCAGCGGGTGTATAGATAGTTGAAATCCCCCTTCCCCAGATATCTTTCCTCTGTGTGTACAGTGCTCCCACTCCCCTCTTACCTGCCCTGTGACAGGTTTCATCCCACCACCTCTCACACATACCCATGAGGTCAGGTAGGTCACTGTGTGCTCTAACCTCTAGTTCCTGTTTGTTCCCTAAATCTGGGGCATTAGTGTCCAGCCATGAGCTTCGTTTTCTTACCTCTGATTGAAGGGTAGAAAGTTGAAAATGGCATTTAATTTGTACCAGGACCAAGACTGTCTCTGCCCTCCCCAAGTTTACCATTTGAGGAGAGGAGAACGCCAGCTGCAAGGAGGTGGCTCCCATCTGAGCCCCAAAGGAAGCTGGGCTTTCATGGGCACAGGCTTGAATTAGAGAAGCGCATGGCATAAGCAGGTGCACAGAGGTGAGAGATAGGTCTTCTCCTAGTTCCTTTGCCTGAATTATAGCATGACCAAAAGGAAGACGCTTGAGATGGTGCTGGGAAAAGGTTGGATGGGGAGGTGCTGAAACGTTGGGCTACTGGTTTGGTATTTTGTCTAAGCATTAGGGCGCCACTGAAGGTTTTTGAATGAGGAGATAGCACGGTCCTACCTGTATTTTAGGAAGATGCTTTTGGCCGCTCTTGGGAGAATGAATTGGACGAGGGAGAGACCGGAAGCCAGCAGACCGTTAGAAGGCTGTTGCATTCGTCTTGGCGAGAAACGAAGAAAGCCTGAACTAAGATGATCGTTGTATGAGGGGAGCCAAGTGGGCAGATTGTGAGATGTTGTATAGGTAGAAACAGGCTTTACAGTTGATTACATTGGGGGTCTGAGGGTGAGCAGAGAGTCCAGAATGACTCTCTCGTTCCCAGCGGAGGTAGCTCGGTTGTACTTTATTCTCACAGAGGACCAAAGTGACCTCACTGTGTCTGGGTGAAGGTACGGTGTGTCCGGCTGTGTCTGATCAGACCACTGTGAGCTCGAAAGGCTCTACCACCGGTCGGGCACAAGCAGTCCGTGTGAATGTTTGGGGTGGATCCTCTGGATTTGCACATCTCGCATTTCTTTTGAGCTGCTTCATTTCTGCTTCACTCCTAGAGCACAGCACCGTCTCTGATGTGGGCACGCCATGCTGGGCGGTCCTCTGCCAGTGTCTCGCATGTCATACAGTCAATTCCAAAGGTCTTCAGAGGGACCTTGAGAGCGTCCTTGCATCACTTTTTCTGACCACCATGTGAGCACTTGCCCTGTGTGAGTTTTCCATAAAATAGTCTCTTTGGCAGGTTTTGCATCCGAAGGCCTGACTAAGCCTTGGAAGACGTGCCAGGACCTCCTAGGGTTGAGAGATGGGTGACGACATAGTACAGTAAAGCAGGAGAGAGTGCTGCCCAGGGAGGGAAGGAGCTCCAGGAGCGAGGACGAGGACAGTCAGGATTTAGCATGAGAGAGAATGGGGGGCTCAGAAACCAGGTTTTTGGGAGCTTCCAGGTGAGGGGTGGAGGAGGTGCCGAGACA